TGGATTCTGATAGAGGGCCATGAGACTTAGACCTGAGTGCAAAAATGGAGGCTCTAGCCCCTTCCAGAGCTGAGATATCGAAACTCAAAAATTCGGCCCGAAAAAAAAAACGACAGTGGTACCCCTTACGTTTTTTTTTTTTCGGGCGAAAAATTAAGTTTCTCCAATCTTCCAAAACTCTGGATTCTGATAGAGGGCCATGAGACTTAGACCTGAGTGCAAAAATGGAGGCTCTAGCCCCTTCCAGAGCTGAGATATCGAAACTCAAAAATTCGGCCCGAAAAAAAAAACGACAGTGGTACCCCTTACGTTTTTTTTTCGGGCGAAAAATTAAGTTTCTCCAATCTTCCCAAAACTCTGGATTCTGATAGAGGGCCATGAGACTTAGACCTGAGTGCAAAAATGGAGGCTCTAGCCCCTTCCAGAGCTGAGATATCGAAACTCAAAAATTCGGCCCGAAAAAAAACGACAGTGGTACCCCTTACGTTTTTTTTTTTTCGGGCGAAAAATTAAGTTTCTCCAATCTTCCCAAACTCTGGATTCTGATAGAGGGCCATGAGACTTAGACCTGAGTGCAAAAATGGAGGCTCTAGCCCCTTCCAGAGCTGAGATATCGAAACTCAAAAATTCGGCCCGAAAAAAAAACGACAGTGGTACCCCTTACGTTTTTTTTTTTTGGGCGAAAAATTAAGTTTCTCCAATCTTCCCAAAACTCTGGATTCTGATAGAGGGCCATGAGACTTAGACCTGAGTGCAAAAATGGAGGCTCTAGCCCTTCCAGAGCTGAGATATCGAAACTCAAAAATTTGGCCCGAAAAAAAAACGACAGTGGTACCCCTTACTTTTTTTTTTTTTCGGGCGAAAAATTAAGTTTCTCCAATCTTCCCAAAACTCTGGATTCTGATAGAGGGCCATGAGACTTAGACCTGAGTGCAAAAATGGAGGCTCTAGACCCTTCCAGAGCTGAGATATCGAAACTCAAAAATTCGGCCGAAAAAAAAAACGACAGTGGTACCCCTTACGTTTTTTTTTTTTTTCGGGCGAAAAATTAAGTTTCTCCAATCTTCCCAAAACTCTGGATTCTGATAGAGGGCCATGAGACTTAGACCTGAGTGCAAAAATGGAGGCTCTAGCCCCTTCCAGAGCTGAGATATCGAAACTCAAAAATTCGGCCCGAAAAAAAAAACGACAGTGGTACCCCTTACGTTTTTTTTTTCGGGCGAAAAATTAAGTTTCTCCAATCTTCCCAAAACTCTGGATTCTGATAGAGGGCCATGAGACTTAGACCTGAGTGCAAAAATGGAGGCTCTAGCCCTTCCAGAGCTGAGATATCGAAACTCAAAAATTCGGCCCAAAAAAAAACGACAGTGGTACCCCTTACGTTTTTTTTTTTCGGGGCGAAAAATTAAGTTTCTCCAATCTTCCCAAAACTCTGGATTCTGATAGAGGGCCATGAGACTTAGACCTGAGTGCAAAAATGGAGGCTCTAGACCCTTCCAGAGCTGAGATATCGAAACTCAAAAATTTGACCCGAAAAAAAAAACGACAGTGGTACCCCTTTCGTTTTTTTTCGGGTTAAAAAAAAGTTTCTCCAATCTCCTCAAAACTCTGGATTCTGATAGAGGGCCATGAGACTTAGACCTGAGTGCAAAAATGGAGGCTCTAGCCCCTTCCAGAGCTGAGATATCGAAACTCAAAAATTCGGCCCGAAAAAAAACGACAGTGGTACCCCTTACGTTTTTTTTTCGGGCGAAAAATTAAGTTTCTCCAATCTTCCCCAAAACTCTGGATTCTGATAGAGGGCCATGAGACTTAGACCTGAGTGCAAAAATGGAGGCTCTAGCCCCTTCCAGAGCTGAGATATCGAAACTCAAAAATTCGGCCCGAAAAAAAAACGACAGTGGTACCCCTTACGTTTTTTTTTTTCGGGCGAAAAATTAAGTTTCTCCAATCTTCCCAAAACTCTGGATTCTGATAGAGGGCCATGAGACTTAGACCTGAGTGCAAAAATGGAGGCTCTAGACCCTTCCAGAGCTGAGATATCGAAACTCAAAAATTCGGCCCGAAAAAAAAAACGACAGTGGTACCCCTTACGTTTTTTTTTTTCGGGCGAAAAATTAAGTTTCTCCAATCTTCCCAAAACTCTGGATTCTGATAGAGGGCCATGAGACTTAGACCTGAGTGCAAAAATGGAGGCTCTAGACCCTTCCAGAGCTGAGATATCGAAACTCAAAAATTCGGCCCAAAAAAAAAACGACAGTGGTACCCCTTACGTTTTTTTTTTCGGGCGAAAAATTAAGTTTCTCCAATCTTCCCAAAACTCTGGATTCTGATAGAGGGCCATGAGACTTAGACCTGAGTGCAAAAATGGAGGCTCTAGACCCTTCCAGAGCTGAGATATCGAAACTCAAAAATTCGACCCGAAAAAAAAAACGACAGTGGTACCCCTTACGTTTTTTTTTTTCGGGCGAAAAATTAAGTTTCTCCAATCTCTTCCAAAACTCTGGATTCTGATAGAGGGCCATGAGACTTAGACCTGAGTGCAAAAATGGAGGCTCTAGCCCCTTCCAGAGCTGAGATATCGAAACTCAAAAATTCGGCCCGAAAAAAAAACGACAGTGGTACCCCTTACGTTTTTTTTTTCGGGCGAAAAATTAAGTTTCTCCAATCTTCCCAAAACTCTGGATTCTGATAGAGGGCCATGAGACTTAGACCTGAGTGCAAAAATGGAGGCTCTAGCCCCTTCCAGAGCTGAGATATCGAAACTCAAAAATTCGGCCCGAAAAAAAAACGACAGTGGTACCCCTTACGTTTTTTTTTTTTCGGGCGAAAAATTAAGTTTCTCCAATCTTCCCAAAACTCTGGATTCTGATAGAGGGCCATGAGACTTAGACCTGAGTGCAAAAATGGAGGCTCTAGACCCTTCCAGAGCTGAGATATCGAAACTCAAAAATTCGGCCGAAAAAAAAAACGACAGTGGTACCCCTTACGTTTTTTTTTTTTCGGGCGAAAAATTAAGTTTCTCCAATCTTCCCAAAACTCTGGATTCTGATAGAGGGCCATGAGACTTAGACCTGAGTGCAAAAATGGAGGCTCTAGCCCCTTCCAGAGCTGAGATATCGAAACTCAAAAATTTGACCCGAAAAAAAACGACAGTGGTACCCCTTCGTTTTTTTTTTTTCGGGCGAAAAATTAAGTTTCTCCAATCTTCCCAAAACTCTGGATTCTGATAGAGGGCCATGAGACTTAGACCTGAGTGCAAAAATGGAGGCTCTAGACCCTTCCAGAGCTGAGATATCGAAACTCAAAAATTTTATCCGAAATAAAAACGACAGTGGTACCCCTTACGTTTTGTTTTTTTTTTTTCGGGCGAAAAATTAAGTTTCTCCAATCTTCCCAAAACTCTGGATTCTGATAGAGGGCCATGAGACTTAGACCTGAGTGCAAAAATGGAGGCTCTAGACCCTTCCAGAGCTGAGATATCGAAACTCAAAATTTGACCCGAAAAAAAAAAACGACAGTGGTACCCCTTTCGTTTTTTTTTTTCGGGCGAAAAATTAAGTTTCTCCAATCTTCTCAAAACTCTGGATTCTGAGTAGGGGCGTGTTTATAAAGTTATAATGTTCAAAGTTTTTGGTTCTAAAAAATGACTCTAGATTGATTCCGAAGATATTTATTTGTTACAAACAATGTGCAATCTGTTAAAACAAAAACCTCAAAATTATAGTTGAATGGTATACTGCTGGGATGTTTTTGACCTTGAGAAAAAGCTTATAAAGTAAGACCAACAAATTTTATGTTTATTAATTTATTCATGTTTGGTACATTTTTTTGGAAGTACACCTGTTTTGACCTGATGTCCATTGGAATGGACAAAAAAAATCACAATGAAAGCAATTATATAAAAAAAAAATTTCATTTGTTTTAATTTATAGAAACCCTGAGCTGGTAAAATGTACTTTTATATTTTTCAGAAACTTGAAACATAATTCAGGTCTGAGGGGGTTAAAGAACCCCTACTCATCTTTGATCACCTAAATAGTATATTAAAATGTTTGTTTTTTTTCTGTGGAAAAAAGAAAAATTCTTCATGCCTTAAAATAGCTTCAATGCAACTCTTCACCCTTACTTTATTTAGTATACAGATCCAAGAATATGCAAATGAGCCCTGCCTTCACTCACTCTAATAGGCTCGTCTATAACTCAATGTATCAGAATGGTAATGCATTTGATGCATTGTTCTCTGGTAATTACTATGATTAACCTTTTGTTTGACTACGTTATTCATCATAATATCGTAATATATACATCATAATAATTCACCAGCTATGTTGCTAAATATACCCGATTTTTCCATATCAACAGAAAAATATCCTGGGATAACGTGGGCTTTGTTAGGTGATTAATTTGTAAGTTCTTAGCATTTTATGCAACCAGCCACTGCTTAACATTTAACAATAAATCAGCGCGCGTTATTCGGCAGCGTGTTTCAACACGTTTTTTGTGTTCACACCCAAGCGATTTTCACTGACGATGAGCCGAGTGAACATGCATATCATTCCCTGACATTAGATGGCGCTTAATATAATGATAACTTGCCTTGCATCTTCCTTGTCTTCCGGCAGTGTAGACGGTAGTGTATATCTTCTTCGCTGTTACGTATGTGTGCGCGGTAAGATCGTTTTGTGTTTGAGCGCCCCCAAGTTGTGTTTTACTGCAACTTCAGAAGCACCAGACACATGAGCAAAAGCGCCCATCTCATTGGTCAGATAGTTTTTGACACGGCGCATCAAACCAATAAAACGAGGCGTTTTTTTTTTTTTAAATTACACTTTTTATTACGCGTGCCGTTTTTTGCGTCGGTGTGCACACTCACATTGGCGCCCATTGTTTAGTCACGAGGCGTTAAACGTCGGCCGGTGTGAACAGGCCTTTAAGTCGGAATGCATGTAATTAAAGGATCAAAAATGAAAAGTAAATATGGAAGGAACACAGTGTACCTCTGATAGTGTGGCTTGACTCTGGACGGTCCTGTAGATCCAACTCCATATAGTGTAGCTGTCGTTTAGACGTTGGACTAATGGGGATATTCACATAGTTAATGGAATCACCTTGAAGTTTGTCAATAACTGACAGTCCTGTCTGCCCTGTAAGACAAGACAACATGCACAGTTACCAATGAAATTGAGCAAATGAAATGCTGTGATCAGGTGGTGATATATAAGAAGGGGCATCTCAATTACCATACTCTCCGGCTCTGAACTGTGGCCACCTGGATGCATAAGTCATGAATGCCATCTGCTCATAATTGCCTTTTGAATCTGCTGCGCAAGACAAAACCCCAAGAATAACTCATAACTAACAAAACACTCAGATGTATGCTTCAAATCATTAAATATTGACATGGCATATTACACACACAAACATTAGATATCCAGTGACAACAAAGCATCGCAATTTCTCCTCATGGCTACTATGTTTAGCAACATATCAATGCTGAGACTAGAATCACTTTATCAGTCGATACTGACAAGAAAGTCTGCTTAAACTTAGGGATGAAGGGCATTACTGATGCAAATCCTGTTGAAATGACATGAAAGTATTGTTTACCTGATTAAGGGACTATGTATTTTATTATATTATTATCATTTCAAAACTAGATAACTATATGATGCTCACCGTCAGTCTCATGAAAAGTATTCTGCTGCTCAGAACTGCTTCTGATCTCACACCTGCTCTTTTCCACCTACAAGAAACATGAAAAGTGATTCAGAAACCACAAAGCAGCAGTAGACTTGTTTAACGCTGTATTTGTTCCTTTAATTGACCGATGCTTCTTCCGCAGCTATACATCACCAAAACTTTTCAAAATCGGACCCACTTTACTGTATTCTATTTGCCTTTAACTACTGTGTACTAGCATTTAAAGAGCACCTATCATGGATTTTTGAAAATGACTGTTCATGTAGTGTGGAATATAGCTCTAAGGTAATGAAAACATCCTGCAAAGATTTATATCTGAAAGTGCACCGTATAATAAAGTTATTGTCTTTCAAAAGTGAGAGTCGACTCTGAGTCTATGAAATGAATTGTTTTTGAAACGAGTCATTAGCTGTTACATCGTGACGTAGAGAGGTCATTGGCCGCTCCCAACAACTGCGCGCGCAGACTTGAAGTGACGTCTAGAACACATTCAAATACTTCAGCTGAATCGCATCATGTCGAGAAGACGCTGTGTTCTACATTGCAAAGACAGTTCAGCCACTTGTTTCCATTGTCCAGTGATAAGCATGTGAAGAATCAGTGGTCAGAGTTCATATTTGCAATGCCCGAACCTTGTGTTCATCATTTTAATGACGAATCATTCACAATTCAAAAACCTAAATGAATTCAAAAGCCGGTTGTTCCTGAAGGAGGGTTCGGTATCCAGTGTATATGGATCAGGTTCGTCCTCCTCCGAATCACAATCTGTAAGTATTATTAATAATGTTTGCTGTTATGTTGTAACATGCACAATATAGTTATATTGTGTTGTGTACACTCCGCGCAGCTTCTAAGTGGGGTAAAGTTAGTTTTGTTTTTGATATTCACCAGACATTGATTGAAAAATGGCAATTACCTCCTAAACGACTTAGCCAAATATGACTTCGCTCTATATAATAAGCACTGCCTCTCAAAAGCTGCCACAATGTGAGAATCGCCGGGAAAGCTCGCTCTTGACGGAGACGCGAGTAAGGGACCGTGTGGAAAGTGCACTTTTTCTGACACGTTTGTTCAAACACTATACAATTTTCAACACTTGACGAGCTATAATCCTGGTTATGGGCGTTCCGTTGCCGACAGTCTCTGCCTACGGTTTACCAACAACAACTGACTGGGTCATTTGACCAATCGCCGCAGATTCGCGTCACTCAAGTCAAGGTGTTTGGGAAAATGAATCGTCGAACGAATCATTTGGGAGTCGTTGACCAAATCAGTTAAAAATAAATGCATATTATAAGACAAATAAAGTGTTTTTTATCCTTGCATGCACAATAAACTGTTTTTGGGAACTCCTAAAACAAAAATAGGAACATTTCAAATGCTATGATAGGGGTTTTTTTTACATGTAACTACATGCATTTTTCTTGAAGACCCATTTTTCTCTAGACCTTTCCCTCAAACCTACCTCTACCACCTAACCTTATCCCACCTCAATGGCAGCAAATGTGTTCTACAGTACAACATGAACACAATAAGTATGTTGTGCCTAATATTTTTTTAAGTAAATACATAGTAGTTAAAGACACCTAATATAAAGTGTGAGCAAAATCATTGAACTAAACTTTGTGGAAATATGAAAAGTTGAAAACCAAATATTTTTCTGACAACTAACTGCTTCTCTTAAACTGTTGCTGATGTTATTTATATCTTTAAATTAAATCTTTACAAAGAGCAAAAACTGACTACACATATCTTGTAAAAACATGTTTGCGGTTACAGAAAAGTTGCCACTATTGTACAACAGTATATTGAATGCTGTGGGCAACAATACTGAGAATGGAATGCTTTTCAGTATGAAATATTGATTCCCTTGAAAAAAATGTTTTCCCACTGTTTGGTCAAAGCAAGCTGTTTTTATAGCTTATTGCATTCTCAGATCAACCCGAAGCATGTGGCGAGATGACAAAAGCATTTGAAATTCACTCTGCAAACTGGTTCTGCCTCCCCACTGGCAGTGATGGCTGAGCGTGATTCAGAGACACAGACGGATGGAACGCTGGATTCCATGATTAGAGGAGTGCATTACGAAAGACTGATGCTCAATCAACACCGCCCGAACTGTTGCAGAAGTCAGATTTTGTAGGCAAAGTTCAAGTCCAAATCTAGAGAACAGTTCGTCTACATACTTTGACAAACAATGCATTTAGACTCAGAGATAGCCGAGTTATCTGGTTTAAAGTCCCCTGTAGTCAATAACTATCCCTTAAAACTAACCTTTGATCACCAAAATGACATATTCAAACGTTTTATGCTGTGGAAAAAAAATCTTCATGTGTTGAAGCTTCAATGTAACTACACCCTTGCTTCATTTAGTAGTATTCGAGGTCCCATGAATATTCAAATGAGCTCCGCCCACACTCACTTACACCAGCTCAGAGATCCAACTCGATCGGTCAACTTTACACAAGTAAATGCTACACAACGTTGGCCGCATAACTGTAATTACTATGATTAGCCTTTTGTTTTACTACGTTATCAAACAGCTAATAATGTGTTGCTAATGTTACACGAACCATGTTCCTGTTCACCATCTCTGAGTCAGACTGCTGCCTTCTAACAATCATATTACAAGCGCTTTGAACAACTCGGAACGTCTGTGGAGAAAGGCATAATTCAGGATAACATCGTCATAAACATCATATATACACCAGCTATATTGCATTTGTCGGACCTGTCTCAACTTAATAACACTGTTGGAGCGTGACTTGACTGATTTTAATAAATGGAGAGAGAGACGACGAAAGAGACATCGTGTTCATTTGAGTCTTCAGAGAAAAGAGACTGGGAGCCAAAATGGTGTTTTAATAATGTATTTAATGATGATTTAAATACAAAATGATGAGTACATCCACGGCCGCATTAACCATAGGGCTAGGCGGGGCTAAAGCCCCGGGGCCCAAGCAAGGAGGGGGCCCGTGATTGGCTGTGGAGCAGATACTGCAAGATTACCACCAAAGCCGTACCACGCAACATCCCACAAATTAGCCCTGTTATTTAGTGGCACTTTCCCTTGTTATATTCCATTCATTATTATGGAATCATTATCATTAATAGAGACGTTCGCAAAGACCCGCCTTTTTTAGTATGCGACGAGCCACGAGCCAGGCGGGTCTCACGAGTCACGCATATCATGTTCTCATGCACTCACGCAGTGAAAAATACATCGCGGGGCAAAGACTAACGTTACACCGAGTGATTACGAGAGAGAGTTCAAAGCAGCTTACTGATGATATGAAACAAAGTCTCAACTTTCAAATATTGTCATTTAAGTAATTTAAACAATACCGTTTTCAAGTTCATATCCACCGACGTTACTGACAGCTTTGTTGTCGGACAAAGTTGCTTATTCGGCGTTATGATTGGCCAGGCCACCTGTCAATCAAACCCCCGTGGGCAGCAGGGCAAAATTGAAACGTCAGGTTTTAATTTGATATGACAAATACATTTATAGACGTTTAGACGTTTTACTCATTTGGCTTCTTCATTAAAACGTGACATTTTGACGTTTTTTTCGGTGTGGATCAAGGCAAATGAACCCTTTTCACCTTGAAAATAATACTTTTTTGCATTTTAATTAATAGAACATTTCTCAGTGATCGTCAATAAAACAAAATTCCATTTTTTCTCGGTTTAATGAAAACCAATAGGTCGTTATGGCAGAGGCGATTGCGTGTAGAATAGGTCAAACGTGTAAGTTTCACGTTTGAGGGGGTTAAACCGTGACATCTACACGTTTTCCAAAGTGGACCAACGTGATTATTTCACGTCTTGTCGTGATACCGGGTTGCATACCCAGATAGCAAACTGACATTGAATCAACGTAGAAACATGACATCGAAACAACGTTGATCTGACATTGTTTTGCTCATCGAATTAATGTTGAACCAACGTCAGACGCGTCATTCTTTCAATACTAACGGAAAATCAACTTGAAATCAACGCGTTGTTTCAACGTTATGAAAGCAAACCAATTTTCGATTTTCATTTAGCTTTGAAGAATGCCGCGTCTGACGTTGGTTCAACGTTAATTCGATGAGCAAAATCAACGTTGTTTCAATGTCATGAGAGACGTCGTTTCCACGTTGATTCAATGTCAGTTTGCTGTCTGGGTATCCGGTAGAAATATTTAAATTTGGCTGCGCATCGATGTAAGTTTATCATTTAAACGCGTTTTTATACATTGTGGTTTGGATACAAATTATTTCAAACTGCTCAGGCACAGTGAGCACCGGGAGAGAATTCATTTTGTAAATGCTGGTTTTGAGACCATGGTGAACTTGAGACGGTTTTGCACAGCGCACTTGAATCCGACTCTGAGGTCTCACAGTGACAGACGCTGCTAATAAAGATGCTGTCGCCATGTGTGTCAATAATGTTAATCAAACATCAGAAAGAAAGTAATTTAACGTTACTGTATTTGACTGAATTACTTTTGCAAAATTAACAAGAATGAATGTTGAATTTATAGTGAAAACCATGTAGGCTATTGTATATTTGATTACTTTATATAATATTATATTATTCAGTGCTTAAAGTTTTTCATAAGTCGATTTATTGTGCCTTTGTTCTATTTTAATTTGTGACTCTTGTCATCAGTAAGCTTGAGATTATTTTCTTAAGCTACTATTATTTTTTGGTGATATTGAAATTGGTCACAATAATTATGAAATTGTAGTCGCAATACATTTTGATATGATAAAAAATATCGTGTTAAAAGTAACATAACTTAACTGTGAAGTATATCATAGATGGATAAAATGACTCGTATAATAATATAACGTTTAGCTCATGTAGTTGGTGACCTAAACACCATTTTGGCTCCCAGTCTCTTTTCTCTGACGACTCAAATGAACACACTTCTTCAGCGTGGTCTCTTTCGTCGTCTCTCCATTTATTAAAATCAGTCAAGTCACGCTCCAACAGTGTTATTAAGTTGAGACAGGTCCAACCCCCACAGACGTTCCGAGTTGTCTGTGGAGAAAGGCATAATTCATCATAACATCGTCATAAACATCATACACCAGCTATATTGCATTTGTCGGACCTGTCTCAACGTGACTTTAACCATGTGAACCCAGCTATTACTCCTCAATGGATTGAGTCCAGAACGAACTTCCCGACCAAAAAATGTTGTGGGTGGGGTTCGGGCTGGCATCCAGGCTAGGAGACGTGGGTAAGGACTCGGAGAATGCAGAAGACAAAAGGTAGGTAAAGTAGCTTTAATAAATGCTGGTTTCTAAAGTACTTCTTCCTGCCTGTATTAATGTTCATGGGTAGCCTAAATGGGTTTCATTCAGACCTCAACATTACGTTTTTTACTGTTATAAATAGGCATATGAATAGGCTATATTTGGGTCTTTTTCTAAACTTACCCCTAATGGGATTCTTCTGGGTTTTTTCCCCTTCCTCGGGACATAGAGGATACATAATCAGTTGAGTTTGCTTCTGTTACAATTTTGACCCCCATTTTGGCCTAAAATGACTGGACTACAATTAATTATGAGGCATTGTTAACTCTTACATTCTGATTACATGTACAAGGCATCAGATAAGAAAGCTTATCTTCCACACTTTTGAAAGGTGTGCTCCGTTTTTTCTAGAATGAAGTATCAGGTAGATATGGCTCAGGATTCATGAAATAATTGAACCTTTTTAGCATGTTTAGGTGACTCCAGGGAGTTAAAGCAGAATTTGAGCTAGAATTGTTTTGAAGTTTCCAGCAGCTTGTTGTCTGGTTTGTTCACCCAGGTTGTGATCCTCAGACATCACAGATTTAATTTTTATATGACAACCTTTTACAGCAGACCATGTCCGATATCCTAAAAAAATGGCGTTTTGCCCCCTGGATAGTACCCGATTTTTCATTTCAACAGAAAAAATATACCCGGATAACCTGGCTTTTCTTGATACTTTACTGCTTCAGAGTGGTCATAATTAATGATATGCTAAAGTTTCCCACACGTTGATGTGTGTGGCAATTCCATTGTAAAACTTTTTCAAAAGTGTGTTTATATATACAGTACATGCAAAACACACAAAAATGCAGTAACATACACTGATATTAAATAAATACATTATTTTAAACAGCAAGGATACATTCAATTAATTAAAAGTACCAGTTAATTCCATTTGTTATGTTAGAAAAGTTTTATATTCCAAAAAAATTAAGCAGCACAAATATTTTCAACACTGATGGAAATAATGTTACAAAAAGTTACGTTTTCTAATCATCCTGAAAATAAGTCCTATGTTTATCAAGAGCTTTATTACATGCAAGACTAAATATGTGATCTATATTATTAAATGTCCATGTAATAAAATGTATGTTGGTGATATATCTCGTTAATTTAAAGAGAGGATAACAGAACATAGAAGTATAACAAACAGAAAGGATCTAAAAAGTCTTGTCGCAAGACATTTTTGTGAGAGTAACCATAAAATGTAGTCTTTTTTTTTTCCTTGGTATTGAAAAGATAAAACACAGGACAAGAGGAGCAAAAACGAGAGGCTTTCTATATTTGTTTTATTTGAAAAGTCTGTTTCCAAAAGGTATGAATGAGGACCTGTGTCTTAAAGAGTTTCTGTGATTTTGATTTGTTGTTGTTTTAAATGGGAGATATGATCTTGTTTTTCGATGACTTAATTCTTTATGATGTAGAAATGGGTTAAACATGCCAATTTGATAAAAGGATGTTTTCTGATTGAGTGATTGTTTAATCTTGATCATTAATCTTTAAACTAATTAAACTAAGAGTGACATCTTGAGTGGAGCTTGTCAGCTGTTGTCAATTTTCTTTGCATATAAATAGTCAACTTTGCCATCTCAGGAATAAATTACAATATATTCAAATAGAAAACGGTTCTAAACTAAGTTTTTATTTATTTTAATATTATTTCACAATATTACACATTTTATTGTATTTTTTTTTTGTAATCAAATAAATGCAGCCTTGGTGAGCATAAGATAATTCAGTCAAACATCTTTTTTAAAGCATACTAAAAAACTGTTGTCATATTAAGAACCAGACAGTAAAAACATGAATTTATGTCTCACAGCAAATTGTATGCTATATGCACTAAAAATAAATGCTCAGGTGTTTGTTCTGAATTCTGACTACACTGTGTGCAATTTACGCAATTGATTCACACAAAAAACTGACAGACTACAGATTACACTGCCTGCTGTGCTGTATGTTTGTTTGATTCACTGCAAAGGATAAACTCAAAGGAGTCAGATATTCTGTCAGCAGGAAACTGTCTGATTCATTTTAGTATGGCATTTCACACAAAGAATATATGTGCGAGAACTCTTAACGAAAGCTAATGTTTAAAAAAAATACCAGTAAAAAACTACTCACAGAAAGACACAAAAAGCAAAATATCAACAAGAAAACAAATCTTGTTACCTTTCCTCCCCCGCAGTCAGGACAGATGGCGGACTGTGACTGTGGTGCGGTGGAGCCTTCAGGGGGCGCAACTCCTTCACCATAACAGTTGGATCTCCATTGGACTGTTTGTTTGGGGGTGGCATCTGCAGGGACACCCTCTGATCCCAGAGCTCCAGCAGTCAAAAACTGTTCCTGACTGGAGAATTGTTGTAGTAGGAGCCTACGAGGGATGTCGTAATGCTGCGGAGGTGGACTGGGTACCTGGTACGTGGTGGCCTGCATTTGAGCAGACTCTTTGAGTGGGCACACACAGGGTTTGTGTTCAGGAATCAGGGGAATTGTCCGTACTGGAGTGTTGAGAAGGGAGTTTGAGTTTGAATTAGGGTTCTGAGGGAGGCTTGTTAAAGATCCAAACTCATCAGTCTCTCCATGCCCAATATCCACGCTACCAGTGTAGGAGGAGAAGCTTCCAGAATACGAGGAGTGGCTTCCGGTGGCGATGCCGCTGTCTGTTGAGCTCTGCCGTCCCGCCTCTTGAAGGCCTCTAGGATTAGGTGGCTTGGATGGGGGCCGAAGCCCTCCCAACATTACTCCATATAGACGCTCGTCACTGGACGTGCTGACAGAACAGGCTGTAGTCTTAGGTCCTGCAACCCCTAACAGTGGTGATGATGATGGTGGTGGTTCAATGGGAGTGGGGTGTCTGACTGGCTCAGGCCATATCGCCAGCCGGCTGCCCAGGCTGTTGTCAGAATGACTGGTCTCAGAGGAGGAGCTGGAGATGCTTCGATCATCTCCTGCCAAGGAGGCGCCGTAACTGAAGGTGGAGGCTGACAAATTATGACAAAGAGAGGGCGGATTAACAAATGTCTCCCTGAAACAATTTTTAACATTGTGCATGCATTTCAAAAAGTGAGTGACACAAAAACGAATTATGACTTTATGATGTTCAGTTATTTTTTGGGTTCAACAGAAGAATTTTTGTTTTTCATACTGTAGGTATTTCATGTATTTTTGTACAATAAATAAATAATATGATGGACCTGACAACCAAAACCACTAGTTTCAGGCTTTTTGTATCACTTTGAGCTTGCAATCTTCTTACATGATAGAATCATTTAAACTGAAATCAATATTTCTTCTCAGTTTATTTCTTTATCTACTTAGTACATGAATCTATACTATATGTATCCATAGAATAAAGTCAGTCAGTCATTATTTTTATCCCTTCAGAATGAAGTTTCAGGATTTAGCTTGACTGTACATTATCCCTTACAAAACTTTGCCATTTGCGATGTAATAACAATAACAACAACAAATAAGAGCTTTAATTTATGTCTTTTTTCCCATGTGAAGGCTTTTATGATCCTTTTATAGTGCTTTAGTTTTATGGTCTTTTTGGAGCGTGACCAATACTATGAACTGTTGCTGTGTGGAAATAAACTATGTAAAATATTCATCTAAAATTATACTTTTGCAATCCACTAAAATACTGAATGATTAAAAAAAACAAAAACAACAACTGATTTTAAATTTTTGGGTGAACTATTTTTTTTACAAAAACCTTATTTGAAATAAAATAGCCTCCTATGTGTGTTTATTTAGTGTATGGCTTTTTGAATTACCTGCCATGCTGTGGTGGCTGCAGATCGACAGCATACTGAGTCGTTTCTCTAGCTCACTGGCCTCCTGGCTAATCCTGTCTTCAATAGATGACGGGTTCGCATTGGGGTCTGTGGAAACATTACATTTTAATTAAACCAATACAGTGAACATTCATCAACCAATAATGTGAACATTCATCAATCATAGACACATGTACCAACATATATCCTTATGATCAAACAAACGAAGCACAAACATGGACCAGACAGCACTGATTTGTCACTGCGCATTAATTCATATATAATCCATCACTGTTGTATCACTGTCTCTGCTGGGAGAATTACTGGAGCCACTGGCCACATTTATCAGTTTCTACTGGTACATCACAGGCAGATCTCTCACACAAGCACGCATACACACTTGTATTCACACACGGTAAGCTTTGAGACCTCCTTTTAAATATGGCAGTAGGTTGGTAATATTCTCTCTTACAATAGAATAAATCAGGACACTGAACACAAAGTGCTCAAATAAGACAATAAATCAGTCAGGAGAGAATAAACATATGAAAAAGTCATCTGGAACAGAACAAGAGGCAAAGAAAAGCAGAATATCGCATAGAAAAGCTGATATGGAGAAATAAAGTTTAGTGATAAATATTTCTGGCATCTTATAAGCAAAAAATGTCAATTTCATGCTGGTCTGAAGTTGTTCAACAGACATTCAAGCAATGCTAAAGGGCAACAAATTGACTGAAAAATCAATATTACACAAGCAAAAAACTAAATCGAAAGTCAGAGCAAGTGAGTAGATTTTGTTAAAATACTTAAAATAATATTATACACAAAGTAATCTGCATTTTTTTTCTTGCACATTTGAAAAACAGCACAGAGTGTGTGAAGAAAGCTGAAAGAGCATTTGCTTTTTGCATATTTAAAGACATTTGTTACTGTACAATGAATCTGCTCTGTGAAATCATTTTGAAGAATATGGAATAAAGTGAAATGCTGAAAAAGAAGAGTGCCTGTACCCCTTATTTATCACTGGCAATCTGAACTCAACCTTTATTGAATGTCAAAGGTTAAAATAAATCAAGTGCACATAATTAATGACTCCTAGACATCTCAGTACGAGGGATGACAGACGAGAACTTCATGTAATGTGCATAAATCATAATTCTGTGAATTAAGAGAATGCGCTGTCATACACATCGAAGTAAACAAACTTTAAGGCTTTTGATTTACATCTTTATACTTTCATACATCAATCACAGAAACTGGGAGAATTTATAAAGGAAAAAAATACCGGAAAAAGTTTTCGCTGTGATTACAAGCAAACAAGCTATTATCGTCAAATCATCAAAAATCCACCATACAACAATCGGGCTGAAAATGATTGTTTGGTCCATAGAGAAATACCAAAATATGTTTAGCAATTTTGAATAATCATATTTTTAAGGCTGTGGTACACATACACAACATCAATGTAACAAAGGGGGAAATAATAACACCCGTCAAAAAATTGTCCACAGAGCATAAATCACCTCTGTAAATGGGTCTATGTAAATATGTAGTAATTTTTCCCCTAAAGTAACATAGTATATTTATTATTTATTAGAAGAAATGGCCCTGGAGCAGACCGAGCATAATATTAGTGCTTCGCAGATCAATCTTTGTGTGGTTTCTTTGTGTGTTCTACAAGCTCTCAGACTATGTAGAGAGCCATTGTAAATATGGCTGTACTAATTTTAGCTATGAACCACAGAAAGCTTTAAGCCACTTCATATCCACATATTCTTTTATGTTACTGACCATGTGTCAGCTCAATTCAGTTATTCTCAGTGTGGCAAGTTAATATCATTTTATGCTTACATGGCAAATCTATCTAGGACCAATCAATAAACTAAATGTGAATCTTACATTGATTTTTTTTTTTTTTTTTAGAATAATAATTCAGTATCCGGGAAGTCATGTAAGGTTCCATTAAAAAGATATGTACCACATAGATATTATTAACCTCCGTCAAGGTGGAGCCATTGAGTGGTCAGAATAAAAAAAAAAAAAACGATTGCCATTACAAAGCAAGACTCATTAAACTTCATTAAACTAAATGAATATGATGTTGAGTATTTTCTCCTTAAAACTGCAGTGAACAGTCTCAAAACACAGTTTGAAATCACTGGTGTTTCTGACGTCACAAACTACCTTGTAAACAATCACGTTAATGTATGATCTCTGAATGTATCTCTGAGCTGGTCTGAGTCAGTGGAGGTGGGGCTTATTTGTATATTTATAGAACTGCATACACTAAATGAAGCAAGGGTGTAGTTACATTCAAGATATTTTAAGGCATGAATATTTTTTTCAAACAAATTTCAAGTTTTTTTGTCATTTTGGTGAAAGATGAGTTATAAGGGATGCAATTATTTATTACAGAGGGACTTTTAACTTATGTACTGTTTGGTGTCTCAGACATACTTAACATTAAATTGTCAAGTTGATATGACTTTTTAATAATCTTATGAGAACTGATTATTAAATAATTTTCAACTTGATAACACATTTCAAATGGCATGTCACATGAAAAATATTGCATTTCTTACATTAGGGATTTGAGAAAATCCAATTGAAACATTAAATAATGCAATGAATTTTTACATAACAAAATTATGTATCAGAAGAGTTCTGCTAATTATTTATTTGTTATTTTAAAAGGTACACTATGTAATTGCTGGCCCTCTAGCAGTTTAACAACAAAACTACATGCAAGGTTGTGCTTTGACTCTGCGTGATTCACTACTAAGCTTAAGATATAACCAGTTTAGATGGAAAGGATCTCAAGCTAACTAGCTGAAGACGTTACCGTAGCTATACCCAGACAGTGTACTTTCTTGAAAACACATTCCAGCACAGCACTGTAACAACCATAATGAAATGACCCTTCACAATAGATAATGCATTACAATGAACTTTTTTCAGAGAGCTAACATATGACAATTTATCTGTTCAGTAAAATACCTTACTCGCCTGTCGAGTAATAAAAACATCATCTCCACATTGTTTTTACAACATTTCAAATCCCTCAGTTCTCACCATCGCTCAAGCCAATGTTGATTCTTGTTTATTACGAGCTCTCTTTTGCCAGGAAACTCTCCTCTGTTCAGATGATTCCCCGAAGGTTGAAATTTAGCAGCTCCATGTCAAACTTTCTCGCTCAATGTGACAACTAACCCACTCCCACACCCTACACGAGTCAAAGTAGTAACTTTTCTCTATTTAAGGATATGACGAGACACAAATATGTATACAATTTCACATGAAAACCATCCCATCAGGTCTAAAATATAAACTTATAATAGGCTTATAACAGTCAATCAGGTTAAGACAAAACCACATGTTGGATGAAGGATTGATGATGTATTGACATTCAAATAATGTTGTTTATTCAAAACAAAATGAAAAGTTACATATTGTACTTTCACTTTCACATTTCCAAGCAGTACATGCCTGCTGTGTGACAAAACAGAGAGATGTAGCTTCAAAAATATCTGCCTACTAGATTTTGATTCGATCAGAGCAGGCTATTAAATTGAATTAGAGGGAATATAAAAAACTAAAAAAATTGTATTATTATTTTTACATTTACATAATTGGAGCCTCTGGGACTCCAAACAAAAAATCAGCAGCCATTCTGAGCAGAACATGAGGGTGCTGGGAAAAATAAAGAGGGAGAGAAGGAAACTTGACACCACATATCAGTCATACACAGAGCTTAGACACAAATATGTGCACGCAGCATACAGCCCACACACAGCAAGCTGATGAGGCCAACATTAGCAACTTTGAAATCTCTGATCTGAGATGTTACATCACACACCTCCACAAGTATGAACTCACCTGGCAGGACTGGGCTCAGTCCAAACGGCCCCCTGCTTGGTGATATGCCACGAACGATGCAATCGAACAAAAAGCTGATCTGTTCTCCTTCTGCACATGCAAGAAAGAAAACACCAGCCCCTACGGAGACAGAGAGAAAAGAAATAGCTTCTTAATGTCTTGAGCCCATTTTATTCAAAAGACATGCACCATTTCATATTCAGATTGATATTAATTTCCCATTGCAGAACTGAACAGAAAATTAGTTTAGTAATGACCACAATAGAAGTCACAAGATTACAACAAATGAGGGAACATCAAGTCATTCCTCGGAGCAGACGAAAACATTGACATTTCACTGATTCAGAATAAATGAATTATATAGACTAATCCAACCCAATGGAACCAAGAAAAACTATACGAGTTCATAAATCATTCAAAAAAATTAATCATGCATACAAAGTCTATAAAGTAAAGTAAAGGCTAATTGATAACAGTGATAATTTATCAATGAGCCAAATGCACGGAAGTTATATATCTAATAGGTCCACAGCTTTTGAAACGAGAAAAAAAAGAAACAGTGTTATAAAACTTAAGTTTATTTTTTGCACTTAGCATAATTATAGTTTATGAAATAAGTGGATTGTGTACCAAGAAAATCCGTTTCAGTGCCCACACCTCCCCCATACAAATGTCAATAGCATCTGCAAAGCCTGAAACACCTTTCAAACTAAAATAAGAGCTGGCAAAAGCACAGCTGAATGTTACTGAAAAACAAGCTAATAAAGAGCCTTAAGGCTTCGAGTATAATGTGAAAACTGGGGTAACAAAGACCTTATTTGTGACAACATGCATTAATGATTCATCCGCAGTCAGATTATGACTGTTTTTCTTTGTAGGACATTTTTAGGAGAGACTTAGGCAGTCTTTCATGAAGGCAAATATAGTCCTGTCAAATCCCTCAGCATCACTGTGGAGACGGTATAGGAGTGACAGTCCATTACAAAAATAACCATAACACCCTTAGCACTTGGTTTCATAATTCATAAACACACTGCTAGGCTATTAATACTCAAGACATGTAGCCAAATCTGTGGCTTTATTTACCTTGCCCACATTTTGAGAATAAAACAGCCCTTCCCGCTTTTGCTACGTTATAGACTTTTTGATTATGAAAATACACAGATGACTCTGCTAACATGTGCAGCATACAATAGAGTAATATATCCCACAATGCAATGTGGTTAAACTTACATTTCTACATTACATTATATTTTTAAACAGTTATTGACTTAAAGTGCCAATTTAAAAAAAAAAGACTTGTTTGAAACGAATATTGTTGCATAATGAATTCTGTTTCACTTTTTTTTATAGTAAGCCATTTACAGTGTATACTGCACAGCATTCAATAAAATAAGTCAGTATTCCAGTTCAAACATAGGCATTCTCTGACATACTTTACAATTCCTATGACTTTTATGTGCGGTATAAAAAGTTACACAAGTAAATAAATGTGTCATGTGTAACATCTGTAATCAAGTTAAGATCAAACACTTGCAGAATCATTTAATTAGAGTTGCACTGTCAGTTTCAATTTGGGTTACAATTTTTCTAAGTCTGTTGACAAACTAAACCAGTGAATAAACTCACATCCATTCAGTCTCTGAAATCAAATGAGACTGCTGACACGCTCACTAATTGCACTGCCAGTATGTGTTTTGTCACGGCTAGTGGCCTGTGACATTGAATTGCGCTAGAGACAGCAACAGGGCCATATTTTCAATTTAATTCACTCTGTCCCCGAGCAGCCAACTGCTGAATTACACTAATGGCAATGGGAGGGACATGACCTCTGTGTGCGTGGCAGAGACCAATCGGAGCTCATGCCTGTCAAACTATAATGAGATAAAGCACTGGCTAACAGTATGCACCAGACAAGGTAATTATTTCATATATGCATCTACTGTAAAATGCAAACTTGCCTGTCTTAGTATCTGTTTCCTTGTATGTTTTCATGAATTAACATACATTTTCAGAATGCATGAAGTGGTAGTAGTGGTTGTAATGAAAATTCAAATTCAATCGAATTGAACAAGCTCTCTTTATGTGGATGTCTAAGCCCAGAGATCATGTCCAGCTCCGTTGATTTGCGTTTCACTGACTTTGAAGGAACATCAAATTAATTTAAATATGCTCAAATGTGTAAAAACAAATCTAAAAGTATTTAAAGGTGCTCTAAGCGATGGTCACACATTTTTTAAGCCCAAACATTTTTTGTCACATACAGCAAACATTTCCTCACTATCCGCTAGCTATCTGTCCCCTAAACAGACTGTAAAAAAAAAAAAAACGCGGTCTATGCAGACAACTCCACAAATGGCAACAAATACAAACTGCGGCAACCCGCTCCACGAAACATAACAAACTGTTCCAGCCAATAACTGACAAGAAGGCCCTGGGGGTGGGGTTTGGGGGGTTAGTGCACGGATGAGGAGGGAGGGAGGGTCTAGCCTCCGTTTTGTTTGAAAATACTCTAAATGTCAACAAGAAGTCACGTCACCCGACATCACTTAGCGCACCTTTAACATTTAAGATATATTTTGAGTAAGAATAATACAAATATATTCATATATTTTTTTAAAAATGATGCTATGATTATTTAATTGGGTTTCTCTTGTTTTAGCATGTGTTCATAATTTCTTTGTGTGACAGCCTGGCCAACAACTAGGTCCACACAATATAGCTTGTTTCATTGGATCATTACAAATAAAACAACCGACTCAAAGCACAACTACGCAATATGTTTCTTTAACCAATTTTTTTATAATATTGAAATAAAGGGTGAAGATGTCAATTATCCTAGGTTGGAAATCACTTTTTTTTTTTCTAAATAAAGGGGTTCTTTTTGTGATTTTAAGAGCTTTGTGCATGTACAGTTTCCATGTACATAAATGTACTACAACAGCAATGAGAGTCTGGTGTCCAATGTGAGCACCCCTGCCCCCTCAAATTCTTCCACTTGGCAGGAGACCTTTCACATGCCACCTCACCACCTAAACGCATTAAAATGCCCACTGTCCCAGCATAGTGCATTCAAACAGCGTCTAACAAATATCCTGAACACCTTTTAATGTGAAAAATGTATTATCCTGATTATGATTGCAATAAAACCCCGATTTGTGCTGTGACAACATGGCAGTCGTTGACCCGGTGTAAGGAAGTTTCATATAAGATGGAGCATTAAAGCTGCTGAAGCCACAGAACAGCTGCAGTTGGATTTGCCAGAGAGGCAGCTGGTAAGTTTCACTGGTGCTAACGCAACGTCTTACACTGCATATCACACATTACCACAATCTGTGTGGGTGCACAAAAGTAATGTGTACTGATTCTGTAAGTATGGGGGGGAGGGAGAGAGGGAGGGAGAGAGACGGAGAGACTAAAGTGTGACTGAGGTTATCTGGTTTGCACATTTACTATTGGCAATCACCTCTCTGCTACTTCCCCCGCAGAGAACATACGACCAAGCGACAAAGAGGCAGGGGTACAAGAATATGGAGTTTCCTTTGTTATTCAATAAAACATTGCAGTGCATGTAAATATATGAAAACCTTTATTTTTCTTTGTGCATTTCGAACACTTTTCATCACAAACGCACAAATGTTGCTATCTTTTCTGCTGTCTTTTTTGCGGGTCTAAATCTTTTGCTTGCGAATGAAGCCGTGTCTCAGTGGGCGGTCTCTAACAACCGGAATGGAAGGCCCTTTTCTATTGGTCACCCTGGATCGAAGTGACAGGTTGACCACGCCCACTATGTTTTCCCAGAGCTGCCGCGCAGTGTGTCTGAGAGAAGAGCCAGCGACTTGTAACATGGCGAGACACTGCATTAACAATATTAGTTTTAAAACTGATAATATCGGTAAATAAAATACATAATATAAATCAGGTTTTATAAATTACTTCAAACGCTTTCTTTCGTTAATGATTAAATTGTATTACAAGCACTTATCTAGCAAGACAGGTTTTAGATATTTTTCCAAGCAGTTTTTAACTTTACTGTTATGTAATTGCATTTTCATATTTAAGTTTAAATAGAGATTTAAATAACGCTGACTGACAGAAAAGATTAGCTATTGTTAGCTGCTGTTTTATATAAATAAGGTACAGTGTTTAACTTTTGGTCCTCTAGAGACATGCAGTTTTGTAAGTTAAGAAAAGAAATAACAGTGATCATAATTTGTGATCAATGATCTGAATTTTTATCTAGTCAAAAACCAAGCAAACAGTTACCTTCTGAATTAACTATTTTTGTTACATCAGCTAATTTTGAAATGTAAACTGATATTTCCTACTGTCACACTACAACAAAAGATACAACAAAATAACTGGATTAAAACCCATTTCTGTACTATTGGTGGCTCTGGCTGCTAGCTATGCTGTTGTGTGGGCTAATAAAATCTATTCAGAGGTAAAACTAACCACAGACTGGTTTAGCCAATGTTAAGTATTTAAATGGCAGAGCATAAGAATAATTCAGTTCAACACAATGTAAAATCCCTCCGTCTTCACTGTCTTCGCGCGTCCTCTAGACTTCTGCTCGGCAGTAGTGGGCGTGGTCAACCCATCACTTCGATCCAGGGTGACCAATAGAAAAGGGCATTCCATCCTGGTTGTTAGAGACCGCCCACTGAGACACAGCTTCATTTGCGAAAAAATGAACCTTTCAACTCGCAAGCAAAAGGTTTAGACCCGCAAAAAAGACAGCAGAAAAGAGACCAAAATGTGTTTGAGAAGCACAAAGAAAAATAAAGGTTTTCAAAGATTTACATGCACTGCAAATAATTTTGTTATCAACTTTATTTTTGAGCCTTAAGATTTTTTTTTCAATCTTTTACTTTTTTTTTTAATTACAAAATAATTAGCGTTACTCTCAAACACAGTATATTTGATTGAATAAAAAAAACAAAGGAAATGCCATACAACAACTAGTCTCAGCCTCAGACGTCACGCCCACGGAACGTTGGCTAAACGTCTGATGCATATGGTACACTTAACTGGAAACACTTCAGGAATGTCGAAGTCGTCATCTGATTGGTTGAATTTTATCGGATTTCCGGGGGGCGTCAGTGTCGCGTTTATTTTCGGTCCGCCGGGAAACAAAGCGCAGAAGTGTGATTGCGGAAGAAAAACTGTTGAGTTTATGAGTGACAATGAGCATTAATCAAGATCAGCTAAACGTAGTTGTATGTCCCCTCCTATCGATTATGGAAGATCAAGTGAAGTACTTAATTGCGAAGGGGATATCAGCCGCGTTTGTGGGCAAACATGAAACAACAGACGCTGACATCGCAGCTGGCCGATTCAGTATTCATATATGCGCACACTGGATTATAAGGTGCATAAGATACTGCAGAGTCAAACGTTTGACTGCGAGTATTCAATGTGCGGCGGCTCGCTGACAGCTAACGTTACAGCTGGCTGTTTTGAATGAGACGAGCCGGTTACTGTGAACGGGGAGCGCTTTATGAACATAACTGTGACGCACGAGCAGCGCCGGGTACAGTGTCTGAGTGAGCGCTCGTGAGCACGTGATTTACACACATAACCTGATTTATACGAGGTTGAACTGGCCGTGTGACAAAGCGGGCATAAGATGGACATGAGCGCGAGTTTGTGGGTGAATTTAATAGCGCGGACCGTTGTTAACGAGCGCCTCCGGTGACTGCTGCTGAGTCTGACTGACTTGTTGCACGCCGGTCTGATGTTGTGGGGACATTTCCACGCCCCGAAACGTGACGCTGAATGAAACGAACTGTAATTGGTTGTTTGACATGTCGGTCAAACGGCCTTATGGGCGGGCCTTGGCCAAAGAAAGCTGCTATGAATTCCAGACCTTCAGCCGTCAGTCTGAAGGTCTGGCTACGCGAGACTATACAACAACAAACCAACTCTATTATCATGGGATTTGTTTCACTGAATAAAATGCAGTGTTCTACCAAAACAAAATAAAAGAGATGTCCAAGAAACCATTTGCATCTCAAAAACATCAAGTGTCAAATGAGCACTTTGGCAAAGAAAATATATTCAAGAATAGCACTGAATAAGGAAAAGAACATGAACTTACAGTAGCCACATCTTGTTCCACCCTCAAAGACAAATCCATTAGGAACGGCGCCATAACGCCTTAAGTCTGACAGTTTCCATTGGCCGATGACAGTTGGAGGGAGGTCTCTGGCGATCACAAGCAAATTGTTGCACAAATGCAGGGAGGCGGGGCCACTTTCTAGTTTGCTGCCAGGCTGGACATTAACATTAAACCTGTGAACTGAAAAAGAGACAAGTTTATTATCAAAGAGCACAACTTTAAAATTAGCACATCAAAGCAAAGCAGTTGTACTGGACACCTAATGTCATTCCATCAGCTAAAAGGACAAAGTACATTTGCATTTAAAATTCCAAAATCTTACCATTGTATAATGTATTAAAATAAACAAAATGGCAAATTTCTACAGTTTTGTACATCTATGTAGTTTAGGGAACACTTTATTTTAAGATGATTAAGTTACATGCAACTACATTTGCTTGAATAAAAACAGTAAATCATGCATAATTATAAATAACTAACACTAAACCAAAGCCTAACCATAACTCTAAGTACATGTAGTTAATTAATATTACTCAGTACTTGTGGATAAGCTATGGAAGCTTGTTTCCACCACTTAATGAACAATAAAAAAAGTATTTGTGACATTTTCTCTCACAATTCTGACTTTTTTTCTCACAATTGCGAGTTTACATCTTGCAATTCTGAGTTTATTTCTATAACTTTTTTTCAGAATTGTGAGATATAAAGTCAGAATTGCGTGATATAAAGTCAGAATTGCGAAATATAAAGTCAGAATTGCGAGATATAAAGTCAGAATTGCGAGATATAAAGTCAGAACTGCGAGATATAAAGTCAGAGTTGCGTGATATAAAGTCAGAATTGCGAGATATTAAGTCCGAATTGTGAGATATTAAGTCAGAATTGCTAGATATAAAGTCAGAATTGCGAGATATAAAGTCAGAACTGCGAGATATAAAGTCAGAGTTGCGTGATATAAAGTCAGAATTGCGAGATATAAAGTCAGAATTGCGAGATATTAAGTCGCAATTGCGTGTCGTAAAGTCAGAATTGTGAGATATAAACTATTCTGAGGGGGGAAACTATTCTGGGAAAAGATGTCAGAATTTCCAGATATAAACTCGCAATTATGTGTTATAAAGTCAGAATTGCGAGATGTAAACTCGCAATTGTGAGAAAAAAAGTCAGAATTGTCAAATAAAAAGTCTATTCACAAAGACTATTTCTCAGAATTGCAACTTTATATCTCGCAATTGCGACTTTATGTCTCACAATTCTGACTTCATATCTCACAATTATGAGATAAAGTCACAATTATTTATTTCTTTATTCAGTGGCGGAAACAAGCTTCCATTTAAGCACAATGTAAATACATCACATTAAAATAAAGTGTAACCTTATTTTGAATTAACATACTACTTGAACATTTTTTACTGTATTTTGACTCATAAACCGATATTCTTCCCATCAAATTAACTTTCTACCAAAAGTTAACAGATTCATATCAAATTATAAACCATCAGAGACATCAACCATCATTTAAACAGAAAACTGAGTACTGAAGTAAGCGTGAGTAGTGAACAGGGTTCCTTTGACCATCCAATTTCCATAATATTTCTAGTTTTATGTGAACACTTGTGAATAATGTTTTTTTTAGAATATTACTGAATCAGATTCAATCTGCCAATCAATCATTAAGATTAATTCTTTTAATGACTGAACAGATCAATTCGCAAAATGTTTACTCTACACAAGAGTGATGTCTTATTTATAATATATTTGGTCATAAAGTTCATGAGATATTTACTATAAATTTCCAACACATTTTCAGGCATGGCAAACATCATTTTAAAATTCCCTGATATTTCCACTAAGTCCATGGCTACGGGAAGGAACCCCAAATTGATCATAATTAGGGGATATTTATTTGCAGCTGCATTTTTATTGGTCTTTTTTTTAGGCACAGACAAATTTGGAACAAATTTATTTCAAGATCAATATATCTAATTGGGCAATACAGGCGTTATTATAGACTCCAAATAACTCCAAAAAAAAAACTCAATTTATCATAACATTTATCATATCAAATTCCAAGAGGGCATAATGCATATGATACAGTTTGCTCGCGGCAGTGTGTGTGTGTTGCATCAGTAATGAGATTAATGCTTTTTACTTCATAATTACTATTCCATTGTGCACCGTTGTGTGTAAGCTATATGTGACAACTTGCCACATATAGCCTAACACACACAAAATATTTATCAAACATATATATTTTATATTAAAAGATTTATCCATACAACACACACTCTTAGATCTCAATCTATGGTCAGCAAAGCAAGGCAGTCTGAAGTCACTAAAAAATCAGTCATGATTCAAACTGAGGGAACGTGCTACTGCACAGTGTGTTAAAGCAGTTTAGAAGGAAACTGATAAGAGCAACAGAGCAGAATGACACATCATCAGCACCCCACTACACCAGACTCAATCTATCATCCTTCTGACTGCCTTAAAGACAAATACCAAACAAACAGGAGACCTGAAAATTGACACATGGATTCAGAAACAGCTACCAAACAAGAGCTTAACCATTCAACACTTTAGCTGAATGTGGAAATTAAAACTTTGATTTGAAATAACTTGAAGTCATAAAAGACTATATGTTTTTTTTTTGGTAAGTGTTACTCTGTCAAAAATGTATTCGAGAAAAACTTTAGATCTTTCGGCGTATCATACATCACAGGGGTCCCAATTATAACTTGGCTGCTTTCTCAAAGGGCAGGCCACACCACTCTGACTTGAGAGTGTATGTGTACGTGTGAAATCAATAGATCCAGGGTGTAGGTGTGTGTCTGTACGTGTTTTTCGAGGGTGTCTGGGATTAACAGACCCAGTAGTCGTCTTGACTCATATAGTGCCCTGAGGGAGATTAAACATTAGCTATGTTTGATAAAAAATAAATAAATAAATATTTGATAAATTATATATATATATATATTTATATATATATATACATACTGTATATATATATATATATATATATATATATATTGTATATTGTATATATACTGTATATATGTGTGAAATTAATTTTAACAAGTCATATAGACTACTGTTATGATGCATGATAACAGTATGAGAACAGCCCTCAGTTACTTTGAAATGCCATTATATGGCTGTGAACTAAAAAAAAATTCTAAAAAAAAAAATGCTAAAATAAAAACACAGCATTGAACTGTCATTGTGTGGCTGCTGAATGATTTTTACCAACAAAAAAAAAATCTGTGTGATGATCCACATACAAATAACAGCATGCGAGTTTGGAACGACATGAGGGAGAGTACTGTAAATAATGACAGATTTTTAATAAATCCCCTTTTTGATCTGACACATGCTATTCTCTCACCCTCTCCAAGGCTGTAGCGGATACGAGCATCCCAGGCCAGAAGAGTCACTCTGTTGTCGAAGCCCAGCATGACAGACTGGCTCAGGCAGAGCAGACTGAGTGCATAATTCACTCCATCAAACCCCTGAAGAGCCTCCAGTCCACAGATATCCCTCAGCGTGGCCTGATTCCTCTCCCGCAGTCCTTTACTCTTCTCTCCACGCTCCTTATACACCAGCAAGGACAGGCAGTCTAACACAGTCAGGATAACAAATTGATAAAACATCAGAACAGAAATGCATCTTACACTTACAAAAACTGCCAAACATCACAATGATAATATTATGGGTTTGTTTTTTTTTTTGTTTTTTTGGTAACTTGGAGTTCCATATAAACACCACTGCACATGAAATCACTCAGCACAATTGTATGAGCACTATTACCATAAATGTACCATTCAAGTAAAATAAAATAATTACAGGTACAGGTTCCTTTCATATCAACACTGTGTTGCATAACAATTCCAGCAGTAGATATTATAATTTGCATTATCATCATCAGGAATTACAACTGACAAAGTAATGCATGCATAGGGCACAGATACTGGGCCATGAAATATAAACTGTCTTTCCATAGACTAGTGTTGTGTGTGACAACATCAAGCCATAGTCTCTGGGATGACTGCACTTGTTGTTTTGAATGCGGTAATGTTTTGTTTTTATACTTCTGTACAAAAGAACAAACCACTTCATCACCAGACTTCTGAAACACTATGTGAGGAGTCGAGCAGCTGTCATAACACACATCAAAAGACAGTGATCCGTGAAAGCAACTGGAGACTAACCTATTAAACAATGACAACTTCAGACAACAGAGATCCAAAAATGACCTATCCGCTAGCCAAGTTTACCTAAAGAAGTTATGCAAGTGTTTGGCTTGCAATGTGAATGCTGATGCTAATCATAAGAGAGACTGGGGTCATTTTTTATTAGTCATTTTTTAACATCAGACAGGGAATATTTATCAGAGAAGGTTCATTTTTTTATGTCTGCATAGACTTTTGAACATTTCTACCATTATCGGCCAAGAAAAAAGTTATATAAACAAATTAAAAGTAAATATATATATATATATATATATATATATATATATTATGATCTCAACTGCCACTATAACAAAATGAACTAAAACAACAAATTATAGCCAATTGTAAAAAGTAAAAATTATAAAACAGCAAAAATTAAAGTGAAAAATGTAAGTATATGTAGGCCTATATGGTATACACTCAAGATTCTGCTTTGACCATAAAATGAAGGCATTAATATTTCTAACATTTGAAACACAGGTCAACATACTATGGCAAAAAATATGATAGTGGTAGGTTGGAGTTTAGATTTTAGTTTGCAGTACAGAATTCACAAAATTCTAATTTACAGGGTTTTTGAACAAGAAATTTCAAACAAACACAAAACCACTCCTAGATATGTTTGTACCCTAGGCGTTTGTCAATGGAAATTTGAAAACACTTTAGGCAACAATAAGGTTTCATTAGTTAACTTTAATTAACATATATGCCTATTGAACTATGAACATGATAAAATACAGTCGTTCATTATTTTTTCATGTTAGCTAGTTCACAGTCCATTAACTAATGTTAACAAACACAACTTTTGATTTTAATAATGTTAATACATGCACAAATTAGCATTAGCCTAATAGTAGCAGTCTTGTAGTAGGCTATTACCTAATGTTATCGTAAAGTCAAACGTTAGTGATAGATCTTGTGACAAGCCCCTGTCTCGACTACAAACACGATTTTTTGTACGACATTGCTGTTTTAAAGTAGCCTACACGTTGTAGCTGTTGTTCCAAAAACAGCTTGAGCCAGAGTGAATTAATTGCGACCTTGTGACACGTGCATCGAGAGTCATTCCGATATCACGCATAACGACCGTGGCAATACCTACCTCACATACCGTCACGAGAAAAAAACAACCGTGACAGCGCCATGTCAGGCTTTTGCTACATAGAAAGTACGTTTATGAAACAAAACAGCTATTTAATGCATTTTAATAGCTAATCTCAACAGCAGCTTAAAACGTTTTCCAAGTAGGATTTACCTGCTACCGGCGAAGGTTTCCGAAGAATCACCCATCTGTTTTTCCACTGTAAACGCAGGGAAACAAAACAACAAACAACGTAGTGTTCGTTACGACAAACAAACAAAGTTTAAGTTTTCCAACAATAATAAACGATACCGTAAACGTAGTTTGCGTTGCTTTTAACCACCTTTTTCCCCTCTCGGAGTCTGACTTGTCCCTCTACGACAACCGTATCCGTCATCTTGTGTCATGGTTCCCGACAGCTGTGTGCGGTCCGCGGCAGTGAGTGAGGGGGTCACTTTCAAAATAACCTCCAGAACTGTCTACAACACGCACAAACTCTCTCACCCACATAACTCTGACATGCATTGACCCACCCTCTAAACAGAGACCTACACTAGAAAGGCAAAGGTTTTTACAGTTGTTCATTGGGTCAAGGTGCCAATTTAATTTACAACACCTGGCCAAAAGATGCAAGCATTCTTGCAAGTCTCAGACATGTCAAGCATGTGGTTTAGGAGACATGTAAACAAACATGGCATTGTGTGAACTTCTCATTATTAGTTAATAATAATCTGCAATTATAAAAGTAACAATGTTTAACCACATACAGGCTAAATGAAACTGCAGGATAAATGGGAACCCTTTATGGGTTGTAGCACTCTTGCAAGGGCCAGAGTAACTGAGGAATAGTTAACACTGAAGTGAGTTGGGGTAGCAGCATTTTAAATATCAAATAAGTCCTAAAGGCACAATTTAGACATCAATATAATATCCCTGCAAAGACACAAAAGGCCTTTCTTGTGTGTGCGTGTGCTGTATTTTAGGGCCCAGATCAATTTGTAATTAGTGTATAAATGTCAGATGTTCCTGCTTCTTTGAAGCAACAGATGCTCTGGACCTGGGTAACATGGATCATCATGTTACATTTGAACTTGACTAAAAAAAGTGTTAAACTAGAAAAATGCTAGAAGCTTTATTTGGGGGTTCCAGAGTTTCAAGACCTCACTTTAATTCAATATTTTTTGATTTGTGTAAGGTGAGTGTAGGAGTGGATAATTCTATGTGTTCCTTTATTCCAAAGATGTGGCTTTTTATCGAAAAATCAGCTGTTTTGACAGCTTTTGGGAGTTTGTTCCACAAGTGGAGAGATCAAGAAATGGAGAAATGTCTGGACCTACAAGACAAGCAGTAACCTTTTATATGGAGATTTGAGGGAGTTAGGCGAACAGAACGGCCTGACAGTAATGGCTGGGCTGGGGTGAAGTTTAGATGAAGGATTGAAGATAGTGGGCGTCAGGCCATTGGCAGTAGTGTAAAATGGCGTCCTATTGGCAGGCAGCAGAGGCGTAACATGAGATAATTCCAGAGGTTAAAGTCAAGTCAAGCTGAAGCATTTAGAATGCACTCTAGAGGACAAATAGCATATACTAGACGGAGTGAAGGTGTAAAATGTCTACAGTCCGGGTGTAAGGAGCTGAGAAAACTAGTGGTTGAGGAAGTCTTATTGTCTTTTGTGGAGCGTGAAGCAGCAGTTGAACACACAGATGCCAGCATTTTACACCCTAATAAATTGTGCTGAACAACACCGCTAAATCCATTCTGTATATGGGTAGCTCTTTACAATAATGTTCCATTCATTCATATTAGTAAATGCATTAGCAATGAACAAACATTTTTCACCATTTAATAAGTAAATGTCAATTTACACTCATGCAACATTTTTTCTGCAGGTTACATGATACTCCAGCATGTGGTGACGTGATTTCTGTATTAGTTAGATGTCATACCATTCACACAACCGATTAGTTCAAATAAAACATTCACATTCATTTAGGTAATAAAAAATGACTGGCTGCTTTCAAAGTTACAGGTTGAATAAGTAATTGCTTTGTAACTGTTAAAAAGAATGTTCAATAATAGTATGAATGTGTGTAGAATGAAATCCAGTCTACTTTTGCCATTTTATAATTGTCATGTGACTTATGGCATCAGTTGCATTGCTTCACTTCCATTCATAACTACTCTTCAAGGTATGTCGTCAAGGTAGCCTATAGTACATTTTTATTTTTAAATTTTACCGTTTAAATTTTTCATTAAATGCACACTACTGAATCTAGCCACCAATTTGACAAAAGATAAAATAGTTTTAAGAAAAATACCATGAGAGTGTGTTGCAATTACATTGCATTTGGCACCCCTGGGGAAACTTGGGTTCTCTTACGAGAGGTTATCTTGTATTGCGTAAGTTTAGCTTATGCTACGGGTAAAGTCATCTTTTCTCGAGATATTGAAGCCAAAAATTATCCTTAATTTTGCATTCTTTGTTAATGCAGTGGAGCAGCAGACCTAGGGCAGGCTGTCTAGCACGCTCATTGGCTGCTCTGCGGCAATTGCAGCGTTGGTGTTTCAAGTGTAGAGAATGTCCCCACGCCCCAGTGTTCACCCCTACACACAAGCGCTATAACTCATGTGTCTCTCACGCCCACAGAGCCCATAATAATTTTACTATATACGAATTTGGCACTCCAAAACACGACATGGAGACATGGAAAAATTAAGTGGAGAATTGGCCTCAGATGGAGAAAATCGCATTAGACAATTTTTGACCAAAAATGTATTCATATTTATTGAAGACAGTTGCTTTGTCAGAGTACAGAAATGCATTATCTTGTGGTTTAGCAAATGAAAACACTTTATGTCCTTAAAATACCTGCAGCATTTTGTATTGATCTGTCTTTCCTTTTCAGTCTCTCCTTCCTCCATGCAATTATCCCTGAAATACGTCTTGGCAGAAAGCAGTGCATTCACATCCTCAGGTCAATGAGGTGAACATCAGTGGTGAATATTAAGCCATGTTCAGCATTAAACCATTAAAATTCCATGAGTAAACTTTAGAGATAAAAGACAACTTAACCTTATCCATTGAGACAAAAGACTCCAGTAGAACGTGCAGGTGACATCAAGCAATAAACACACATAAGAACAATTAAAGTATGAGACCTGATGTTTGGGTGTAACTACATGTATTAAGTGCTGCCACATTAGACCTGACATAAGTAAAATAGATGGATCCCATAGAAATCCGTTAGTCCAGCTCATTGTTCTCTACAGCTCCTCACAGGTGACATTTATATGGTTATGTTGTGGATTAGAGCAGCAGTGAGAGCAAAAACTAACTGGAAAATCCCCTACAAGCTCCATTTTAGAAGTTGTTATTTGAAACTTTTGCAATATTATCTCAAACTGAATGTAAACCAGCACAAGCTTGAGAATCATCTGTTGCCCTTCGTCAGATCACTACAACGTGAGTCAGAAGGGATTCTGATGAATCGGGATCGCTTGCGAGAGCCTATCTATTTTGAGTGAAATAAAACGAGCCGATGCACATTGGCATGCAATAATTGCTGTGACCAGCTGCTGTGCATCACGGCGTGAGCATATAACAAGCACCAGGTGCGTTCGCATCTTTTCCTTTCGCTTCAGAGCCAGACGGTGAAGGTTGTTCCTGTCTCCTGCAAGGTTTCTACACCGTGTTTATCGAGTCTCTGCGAGGAAGCCTCTGTGTGTGGTGTTGGTGTGACGGCATGAACAGCTACTTCGGTTAATAGCCTTCACAGATAGCACACGTACATGTCCTGGCAGGGAAATCTGTGCCTCTCCTGGGCATGTAAATTCTCGTCCGCTCTCGCGGACAAGGCTTACTCAGCCTGTGGAGAAGCATCTTCTGCCCTGCATGCCATGGCGCTCCTGCAGATCTACCAGGCCAAGGAGCTTAAGGAATTGCATGAGGATAGTTCCAACCCAGGGGTTATGCAGGAACTGTGTGCAGCAACAGACCTTGCCCACTGGGCGACGAAGTGACTGCACGCTTTGGGACGGGCGATGTTCACGTTAGTGCGGTTCCTCAACACCCCTGTCTGCCAGGACGGCCTCTTTGGCGACGCTGTGGAAAACCTCGCCCAGCAGTTTTCCGTGGCACAGAAGCAGACGGAGGTGATTAAGCATGCAGCCCTGACGACCAGCTGCTGTCTCCACCAGTCGCTGGCTCGCCTCTGTCTGCTCACAGTTGAGGGTGCCCCCCTGCGTCCGCCTCCGCCCCTGCTCAGCCTAAGTAGCAGCCTCCACCCAGGCAGCAGGTGGCCGGTCGCCCAGCCCATCCAGGCCCCCGCTAAATCAGGCGGCAAGCACAAGGGCAAGTGGCCCTGAGACAGGCAACCCAGCGATGGAGTAAGCTGCTCTTCGGGAGAGAGTGTCCAGACCTCTCCCTCCCCTGGAGTAGGACCGGGTGGAGAATCTTTTGTTTCTGTTACGCCGCTTCCTCCCCAGAGTCCAGCGGTACCCACATTTTCAATAAAAGAGCAAATTCTTCCATCTCTGGGTCACAAGAGGGCATGGATTGCAGTGAGCGACACTTCCGTGCCTTACCACTCCTTTCCCCCTTTTTCATCGCCAGCGGCCAGCAGTGTGCAGTTCGGGGACACCACCAAGGCTTCCCACGCACACTCTGCCACACCCTGGAACCAGGTAAGTGTGGTACAACACACGCAGATTCCACTTCGGGCTGCCTCAGTGCCTCTGAGACGAATCCCTATGTTCCACCTCGCTGCCTCACCCCGAGTACGTCTGTGATCCCGTTTGTCCCGCTTGTACGGTGTCTGGGAGCCTGGTTAGCACTTCCCAGCCCATCTCGCTTGCTCATCCGTCTATGCGATTCTGTTCGCCAGGCGCCCTCCCAAGTTCAGGGGTATCCACTTCACCTCTGTGCGGAGTTGCGATGATCCTGTCTTGCAGGCAGAGATCGATGTCCTACTGGCGAAGGACGCGATCGAGCTGGTGAGGACAGGGTTCTACAGCTCCTACTTCATTGTACCCTGTGACTGTGGGTTGCGGCCGATCTTGGACATGCAAACCTCGAATCGGGCCATGCACAAGTTCCCGTTCAAGATGATCATGCATAAACGCATTTTCGAGTGCGTCCATCCCCAAGATTGGATTGCAGCGATCGATCTGAAGGACGCGTATTTTCATGTCTCGATTCTTCCTTGACACAGACCGTTCTATAGTACAAAGTCCTGCCCTTCGGGCTATCCCTGTCCCACAGGGACATGGTGATCCATCACCTCAGCCTGTTGGGCCTTCAGGTCAACTGGGACAAGAGCAAACCCTCCCCTGTGCAGAGGATCTGTTATCTCTGTATGGATTTGAGTGACAGAGGAGCACGTCCAATCAGTGTTGAACTGCTTGAGTACAATCAAGAGCAGAACAGCGGTCCCACTGAAACTTTTTCAGAGGCTCCTGGGGCATATGGCATTAGCAGCCGCAGTAACGCCGCTCGGGTTGCTTCATATGAGACCGCTTCAGCACTGG